AAAATATTTACTCAAAAGTTGTATCATGTGCATTTTCTCTGCTTCTTTTATTTTGTTTATGCTCTTTTAAACATTATCTAGTGTTTTGAAGAATTTTTATTATCACTTTTTTAAAGTTGACTTGAACTTTTAACTCGATTTTCATTGTCTAAAGTCATGTAGATCGTTAGATAAAGTCCTAGTCTCATAACACTTTACGGTCCATGTGTTCCATCTATTTCAATTAAAAATAATAAACACTTTAAAAGTAGTCAAAACGATAGTTCAAAGGTTTTTACCATCCACGGATCCACCAAAGCTTTGTGGGATTCTTTCAGTGCTTTTGCTCAATTCTTTGCAATAATTGCTTGTCTTTCTATAGATAAACTTACAAGGAAAGCACAACAATTAGTGTCTAATTTATTTCCACAAATTTTTTCATAGACATATGAAATTAATTAGATATGAAATTGAAGAGAGATGAAATTCTATTTACTTAGTAAAAATTTTATTTATTTATTTTTGAAAGAAGTCACTAATTTTATTTGAAATAGTAAACATCCCAAATTACAATAAATATTTACAATCATAATCATAAATTAAGTACATAATTAGGACAATTTCCTATAATCATTGAAACAAAACTAGCAACTTAAGACCACTTAAGGACCGTACAAGGAAAGATTAAAATCTAACTAAGAAAACTCGAACAAAGATAGATACAAACAAATCTAATTGCATCGGCAAACGAACCAAAAAAGGGGATCAAACTCCTAAACGACCACCGACAAACAATAAATCAGAATCGAGCGACGTGAAAAGCTATCCACGAACACATAACAGGTATCCAAATCCAATCCGAGAGTCCAAAGCATGGAAGATCAACAATATAACAGATAAGCGTCATCTTAATCAATCGTGACGATGTCTAATCAACCCTTAAAAAATATAAGTGAAAACAACAACCAAACAGTCGAAAAACATGCTAAAAGGTAAAAGAAAATATGTCATAAAGGCAGAAAAAAACGTGTCTTACAGACAAACTTTTTGAAAATAAGAAATAAGAAAAAAATAGAAGGATAATAAAGAATATCGACATAACCAACATTAAAATTAATGTCGCCACCTATCAACAAAGACAAAAAAATAGATGAACGACTTACCAATAAGAGAAAATCATAAACATGTCGAGAATAGTCCATTTGAAATGATTCTACACAACGGAATAAAAGAAAGAATTAATAAATGGTTGAACGAACTGAAAAGAAGGGGAAAACTGTACATAGATTAAAATAGAAAACAAAATAAAGTTATTGTTTAATTTTTCTCTAGTTCATGATTTGTTCACAAAATAGATAAATTAAAATGTATATAAGATAATGTTATGGTTGTATTCACATAATAGATAGATCAAAATGTATACAAAATTTAGTGAACGATGAAAATAATTATTTTAAGGATCTATTAAATTATATCATAGATTTTGTATAAATCAAATATTAACATTATTTATTGGTAAAATAATATATTATTGTTCATCATCAATGATAATAATAACAATTTTAATGACCGGTTAAAATATCCTTAATGATTTATATATTGAATCTGATTTCATTTAAGCATGGTTAATACTTAACATATTTTTATTATATATAAATAATTATTATCATATTATTACCGATTAAATTTTAACTTAATTATCATCATCAATGTTACAATATCCATAATAATATAATTTTTGAATAAATTCAAATAAACAATATCTTTTAATTGATGAGTCGTTAGAACAATTAAGATATTATATGACAGGATATTACCTTTATGTCCTTCTGTAACCAATATACTGCATTAACCTGGATTGTGGAATTCCTTGCTAGTCCTTATTCGGAAAAAAATTATATTATATTATTTTTACTTATATTATATTTTTTATTATTGTAAATGTTTAAGGTTATAAACATTATTATTTTTAGTATATATTCTGTCACAATCGTTAAAAAAATATTTTCTAACACATGTTGCATTTCTAAAATTTTGAAAATTGATTTTTTTAAATAAAATTTTCTAAAATAAAAAAACCTCCTTAAATCTCTAATTCCATTCCAATATTGATATTAGGGAACTTTTTGGTTGACCGAAGTCATTCTCGAAGAGTGCAACAGCGAAGGGAAAAGCAATGGAAAGTTCTTCAGTCGACGAGTTTTTTAGTTGATTTTATCGACGTCGTTGATAGTTTTCCTGAAGAGACATACAAAGTGAATGATAGCGAGATACAATGGGAAACTTCTTGTCGCATTATTCTAACGGTCACCATTATCATTTCGCCATCAAAACTCACCTATCAATCGTCATATTTCACTACCGATCACCCTTTTACCGTCAATCAAATAGGAAATTAGAGTTTAAAGATTTGTGAATTATGGTATTATAAATTATGGGGTATTATGTATAAAATAGAAAAGTTTAGGGTAATAATTTTTATTAAGAATTTTGAACATATACCACACCTTGTAATCATCTCATACTATTAAAGAACTTATTTAATTTTCACCGAAAACATAATCTTTAATAAAATACATTAATATTTAATTAAGTGAAAGACTGAGTCCAACGGCTAGTACACTAACACTCCATAATATTGTCTGGGGTTTAAGATGATGGTGCTTGTGAACTTGCACAGGCTGCTTGCTAGGGTATCCATCAAAAGGTGGCTGGAAACTGGAATTGGTAGTAGAATAAGATGAATCTGGAGGCAGATAATTAGGTCTAGGGCCTAAAAACGATGAATTTTATGGAGGAAATTTTACAATTTGATAAGGACCTCTAGAAGGTGGGATAAGTGTTATCGGGAAGAGACACAACTGATGGATCACTAAATTACGTAGGCGGCTTCACCCTGCCTGATGAGAAATGCATCGTAGACTCGTAGTTTCGGGAGCAACCGCTGGACTAGGTCTAAGATTTTAGAATATTAAAAATTTATTCAATTATTTTGAATCAAGATTAAAGCGATATAATATATAAATTTGAGAGATCATATATTATATCACATCATCATTTTATTAAGTCCACAATCAAATCTAATAACGGATAATTAAAATATAAACGAAATGTTACATTCAAATATATATATATATATATATATATAACGAAATGTAATGTTAAGTATTATTTTATTAAAAAAAATAATTGAATGATTAAAATAAAAATACGGTAACAAAATTAGCCTTATGCACGTGAGACTAATATAAGCCGTAAAGAGAAGTCATTCATCGTATATATAATCGTAATTTACTAAAATCATTCTCTACATTCTTAATCAAGCCTTTACTGTGACGTGAATATGAGGGCAATTTCTGCTTGCTAGTAGCCGTCATGTTCAATTCTTATCCACTAATATTCAGATTCGCCTTCTGTTTTGTTTGTGGTAAATTATGGTATTGGGAAGTCGTAATTGGTTTAAAATTTTGCTCAGATGAGCTCGCTGTCCTTTCTGTGTTATTGTCTGCAATTCATATTATCGATTATAAATATTTGTCTACCAGAAGATACTGATTAATAAGACAGACAAGGGAAAATAAACGAAGAGAAAATCACAGCCACAAGTTAAGCAATTTTGTTGAAAGCTAGTCAAGGGGTGGTTTCAATTCAATCTTAGAAAATAAGCAAAACACTTTGTTACAAAGAAAATCTGTGGTTGATTCCATTGGAATGTTGGTGTTGGTGTTCCTCTTCCGCTTCATCGTCATCCAATCTGCTCCGTATAAATGTCAGGGTTATCTGAAGCTTCTTCTACCCAGTCTAAGGCGAGGAAGGAACACGATGAATGCGAAGAAGAGAACAAAAATAAAGACGAGAGCTAGTAACCAAATCTGGCCATGCAGAGCAAAGTGGGTGTCGCGCGACAAACTCAACTCAGCCGGTGGTTGTAAACTTGAAGGCTCCATTGATGGTGAAATCCAAACCTTGCTTGACTCCATCGTTCATCGTATGAACCAATTACTACAAGAATGAATGAAGATGAGAAAGAAAACCAAAACAATCTATCAAACAAAGAAAATGTGGAAAAGTTTAACAATATGGGCTTTTATTACCCTTAAAATGAATACAAGAGACCTTGCAAAATGAATAAAAGAATGGTAGTTGGGTGGGAATGGGTCGGGTTTTTGGTCCACCTGACTCGATCCGAGAACAAGGGAGCCTCCACCCGAGACCAGACCTGACCCGAATATATGACTTAGAAATCCGACCCGACCCAAAATAATAAAAAAATTATTTTTATTCAATAAAAACAGTGACTTAATTGAAAAAAATTATATATAGAGAGGTATTATTGTAATTATTCCTAAATATATAATGTAAAATTATATAATTTTTAGGTCGAGTCGAGTATTTTTCACCAAATATCGAACCCGACTCAAACATGAGATTTAAAAAAAATCAGATTCGTTCGGGTCGGAACCCGTCGGGTCTGGATTAAGCGCCATCCCTAGCTTTTAATGGCCCACCAAACACAATTTCTTTCTTCACTCGGCTCACTTCCTCATTGAGCTGTCCCTGTACATTATCTTAAGATTGACGGCTGTGATTGGACAGATCTCCTTGACGTGGATGCCCACAAAGGTATCAAGATGCACTGAATTCTCACCTTTCTCCTTTATCTCTAGTCGGCTGTGATTATAACAGCGTAAACTATAAGGATGATACCTTTTGTTTAGGTCTGTTCTGTTTTAGTCATTAGTTTTAAAAAAGTTTCAATTTGGTCACTTATATTTACGGGTTATAATATTTTGATCATTAGGACGTTAACTTTTGTTAGATTATTGACGTGGCACGTTAACAAGAATTGTTAATTTCTAATTTGACTCATGAATACACAGTAAATGGTGCTTTTATACATTGGTGTTTTATACTTGGGGTAAAATTAGATGTTTTTGACGGCACGATTGATTATTATATTCTCATATATAAAATAACTTTTTTAAGTTGTAATTAATGGAGTGTGCATTTCGTTGTGGAAGAGGGTTCCCAAAAAGCTAAGCCAACAAGCAAAATGAGCAGAAACAAATAATATTAGCCTTGAAGAATCGTCGATGATTCTTTATGCATATCCTGCTTCACCTTCCATCTTGATTACAGATTCCTAGAGAAGAAAACTAGACTAAGACACCTGTCGTAAAAACATGCCGCAGCCGAAAGATAAAGAGTCCATTTCTCTGCACTTCAATAGCAGAGCTATTTACAAAAACCAAAGCAAAATGAAGTGTACTAATAGTACATTACCATGTGATAGATGTTCAGTTGAGCTTAATCAAATACTTCCCATTCTTGAGTTATTATTGTAGAGGATGGTAAGGGGGCTTGGGATCCTATTCCTAGCCCAGACTCAAATGCCTCCCATTTGCTACTCACTGCCATCGCATTGCAACTACTGCTGAAAGGATTGGAGTTTCTAGCCTTCAATTTGTCTAGGTTGTCCACTATTCCTTGCACTCGACGAACCTGTGCCAAAATCCATTGTTTTCTAGTAGGTGATTCGAGCTGAAAAATGGTTGAAAAGAAATCAGATTCATCAATGACAACCTCCTCTTTGTTCAATATTTTAATCAACAAAATCTACTTTTTTTCCTTCTTATCTTTCTTACTATCAGGTTGGATCCAGTACAAGGAGGTAGACACGTGACATAACTAACCAACTGTTTCCATTTCCGAGCCAAATGGGGTCTCATTTTTCATCTTCTTCTCGATGGCACAAAAGAACCAAAGCACAATTATTTGTACCAAAAGGATTTATGATTACAGCAAAGAAAAAAACTTTTGATCATACATGTGTCTCAGTAGGAAGTAAGCATAACCGGATAATGACTAACCTCAACCCGCCTCTGGACTTTGGCTTCTCCATCAGCCTCAATTGAATCTAATTGGAGCAATTGTACCATAAGCAACTCGGTCAAGACAAGGAATTCGTTTTCTGCGATCTTGGTGCCTGCACCAACACTTGCCTCCAAAGCAATAACCTACAAAAGTTTGATCAGTGGGTTGAAAAGTGTTGACGTTTGTAACATGAAAAACTAAAATCCAATCCCTCTTTTCAGTGGATGCTAACCTTCTCAGAGAGTTTATCAACCTCTGATCTAACCTTAGCAGCCTCTTCACAGGCTTTTAGAACGGTTTGGTTTCTATTCATCTCCTCGAGCTTCCTCTCTTTGGTAGCTGGGTCCTCTAAAAGTACCACCTTTGACATGTCTTTAACTCCTACCATATGCAAACATTCTTCATCATCCTTTTCTTTCCCTTGGAACAATAGTCTCTGCTCCTTGGGCTCCAAACCGGTTTCTTGTGCAACAACTATTTTCAGATCCCCTTCAATTTGAGCCAAACTATAAGAAGAGGAAATATAGAAAAACACACACACATGAAGGCAGAGCAGTAACTTTGTGCAAATGTCAAGGCCAACAAGCTTATGTGTGGAAACAAAGATGAAAGAATCAAATTTTCCTCGAGTTAACATACCATTTTGGTCAAACACTGAAAATGGAAATCAAATGTTGCTAAAAAGAGAAAAAGCAACATTCAAACTGCTGGTATTGATGCCCTTTTCGAAACAAAAACCACTGTGCTAATCTTCCACAAAACCTCAACAAAGACAGTCATGAAGCAAGAAAAATATACAGAAATGATTACCAAAAGTAGATTGAGCAGGCAGAGCTATATCATGGTGGTAAGAACCATGAGAAACTTTGATCTTGATCATAGGAGCAGAAGAAGCGTCCCCCATGTTCCTCTTTTGAACAAGCATGCCCCCAGGCCTAAGCTCCCACTCTATCTCCCCTTTAACCCCATTGTTCACCACTACCCTTTTTGAAGATGATAATCTTCTCATAGTCAGAAAATGAACTCTCTGTAAAAAAGAAAATTAGAAAAGGTGGAGTTGGTTGACAGAGAGCTATTAGTCTGAGCCAATTGCGGTAGCTAAGGCTTAACTAAAGAGGATTGAGTAAGCAAACAAAAATTGTTTGAGACGAAGACCCTCCAACATAACCTTTTTATAAGGTGTTATTGGTAGGCCAGCTTCAAGCTAGTGTGTCTGTCTTGTTTACTGTGTTTTTCTCCCTATTTACGTGTAGAAATCATGATTTTTGATGAAGGAAACCAAGAGTATGACAGGATCGTGATGTTGGCAAAATCCCAAAGCAGATGGAGCCTAAATGTGCCAGGTGGAGGGTCCATAGGATGAGAATTATAGGATCAAACAATAAAGTATACATCACATGATGTTACTGATGAGACAGGAGGGTCCAATGCTTTAACTTCAGAATAGGGCTAGTTGAAGCCTTCTGCTTTGCAGTTGAGGATATTTCTTCACAGAATTTATGGAATTCCAACATAGAATATGGTGGATGTAATGACTCCACTCCCAAATATATCCATCTAAAGATAGATATAAATGCACACATTCACCGGATACAAAGAATGATAAAAGATCCATTCCACTCCTTTGGGTATATACAAAAAATATAATTAATAAATAATTAATGAAAAATTTCTCCGACCTCTATATATTATATCAACTAATTATTTTGATTCAGTACATAATACAACAAGCAGTATACAAAAAAAACCAACACATACCGAATCGAACTCGATAATATGCGGGTGCATAACCGTGACAACTGACAAGGCAGCAAACTCACATCAAGAGAGTTACGGACAAACGGGACAGAACTGAGACCTAGGACTATCAAGCTTAAATCACACAAAGGGCATGACTTATTCCTGTTGAACCATAGATCCATGAAGCCACGGTTTATGTGCGAGCATGATAAGCGAGGAACCCCTTGATTGACCTGGGAAACTAGAAAGGATATTGGACAATGAAAAGTTACAACGTAAAACTGTCATGTTCTGTCTAAATGCAACCAGATCCCAACATTTCGAGCATAATAAGAGACCATCTTCTTGGAACTAGCATTGTGAGCAAACCTATCAGTTTCCGTCTTAAATGCAACTTCTGTTTTCTGTATTATCATTAAACTCTCATTCAACAAAACAATCGAGCAATCAAGTGAAATGGTGTTACGTAGCACCATTTCATATTGTCAAAACTGGAACTCTCTTTTGACCCATAAATGCTTGACGAAGCCAATGATACCTATCTCGGTAATGCTCGAGGGAGAAGCAAAGCTGCCTTATAGCTTCTCGCTTTTGTTCTGCTCCCTCCAGTATTTTGATTCTTTGCCTCTCAATAACATCCTCTAGTTCCTCAGCTTTTGATTGCAGTTCCTCCACCAATTTATATGCTCCTTCAGCACTAGCAGCTACCTTCACGTGTTCCACATTTAATTCGCGGAGATGCTTGTCCATTTGATCAATCTGTTTATCCCTAGTACTAATATCTGCTTTGAGAGATACAATTTTAGTTTCAAGGTCATCCCTCTCTGCTTTTAAAGTCGCAAGCTTTTCATTCAAAACTTTAACGCAATCACTTCTCTCAGCAACCTCCAGTCTTAAATACTCAATTTCACCACGAAGCCTCTCCTCTGATTCTCTTTTTTCATACACGGCTTTTCTGATGTCCTCCTCCAACGACCGGCCACGTGCTTCCCAATCCCTGAGCTGTTCTTCCAAACAAATTCGTCCCTCCAACAATTTTGATATTTCAGCTTTGATATGAGCTTTTTCGGGAAAAATCTTCTGCTCGGCATCAGATACAGCTATTTTTAAATCACGGATCTCATGATCCCTGTCTAATAAACTATTCTTTAACATAGCAATTCTATCCTGCAGCTTGGAGACCTCTCTTTTCTCTGTATTCAGTTTGGATTTCCATGTGACTATATCTCTTTGGGCCGAATCAAGCTGACCCTGTAACTTTTGAATTTTTTCATGAGATTGCTTCTTTTCCAGTTTCAAACTAGCAATTTCTTTCTCGGAACCCTGGAGCATTTCTTTAGTTATACTTAATTCTTCCACCAGTGCCTGCATCTTTCCAGCTGCATGGTTATTATCTTTCTCCCACATACCATTCTTATTTTCAAGATCCAATACCGGATTTACTTCAACCTCCTCTGTTTTGACACTTTCTTCTTCTGATGATTCTGAGTCAGCTACCTCTAGTGGTTTATATTTTTGGAGCTTGATCCTCAACCGGGTGACTTTTTCTTCGGTGAGATGTATTTTTCTGTTAGCAATTTCAAGCTTTTCCTCGTACTCCCTAATTCCAGAAAGAAGTTCAGGATTATTATGTTTTACCCCTCTTAATGAACCATCTGTACTTTCTTCCTCTAGCATCCGTAGCTTCTGTTTCACTTCATGGAGCTCCATCTCCAACTCAACCATTTTCCTGCTCACCCCTTGATCACTTCCATTTCCTGATAAAACTGAGTAATTATTGACTGAGGAAGCATCAGATTCGGTTTCAGAATCTGTTCGAGTAGAGAACTCGTCCTCTTCTTTCTGGTACACATCAGAGTCATTCCCACCAGAACCAAGGAAGACACTAAAACCAGCAGCTCGTGGACCAGATTTACGATGACTCGGCCTTTGGTTCGAGGATGGCCAAATAGAGGGTAGATCAGAGGCAATGTCAGAGATGTCGGAACCCTGAGATTGGAGATCTGATGGAATATTCTTCCTCAATTCTCCTGTCAGGTTGTCATAACGCTCTGCCAAAGAGCGATACATGCGGTATAATTCCTCAACGTGGGACATAAGTTCTGGCCTCCTCTGATAATACATCTCAGCTTTTTTAGCAAATGAATCTCCATCGTCTTCAATCAGCTTCAGCATCTGTTTGATGCGACGATCCATTTCTGTAGTCAACAATCTTAATGTTATTTTCTTGTTCGACATTTCCAGAAGTTTATTGATTTCAGAAACAAAATTCTTTATAAGATGCAGAAGAGATGCCTAGTCCCCTCAAAAAAGCTAGACATGTAGGATTGGTAATATATACAACACCAGAATTACACCTTACTTGCAAATGATTTCCAAAAGTGAGGACCATGCAGCACCTTACTTGGAACTTACCCTCAAGATTTTCTGCTAGCCACCTTGAATTCTTGGGGCTGATGTGGCTATCCCACCACCATGAATGTGACTTTCTGGATTCTAGTCTCTTCATACTTTTAGTTAATTGACCCTAAAATGAGAAGAAAACAAAGTTAAGAAACATATAATATCTTCACTGCACAATTGATAATGTTATTTTTCGGAAGTTATTAAAAAAAAACTCTAGAAAATTTCTCTACATCGGAAAAAATGCTGCTTCTGCTATAACTGTGGTATATTTTTGATAAACAATGAAATAATGGATAAGTGGATATTGAAATTGAGCCAGGATTATTAGCCTAAAAGCATATGAAAATTATACACAAACTGCAAGAAAATTCAGAAGTGGAAAAAGCTTGCTATGAAACAAAGGGTAAAAGATAATGAAAGAACAGATAAATTTCTTACTGCAGAATTTGCCATCTTGGAAGTTGGAGATGGATCAGGTATAAGAAAAGTGGGTTCAGAGAAACAGTGATAATCAGTATTCAACCTACATAACAATATAATTGGTACTTGGACATAAAAATATAAGGGTCACCATACTTGAACAATATCAGTAGAGTATATTTACACAACAGGTAAAATGATTTGTTCCATTCAATAAATATCAAAGTGAACATGGGAGAAGGTGAGACCACGCGCATTATTAGGGTGAGCCGAGTTGTCGACGGACTTGAAAGACGAAAATTAAGAGTATTAATCATTCCATTATTTGTCCAACTTTGAGAACACGACATCCAGCTGTGTTTCGATGCATTCCGTCATTCTAGGACTAATTTACTCGCGAAAAAACAAAAAGCTTTAGTTGCAAAATAAAGACGAAGTTTTTTGGAACGGAGATGGATAACCAGAAGAAACGGTTTCACCCAAAATGCAATTGATTTGGTGCTGTTAATCAAACAAGTCGGTAGAGAAGGGCAGAACATGTGGTAGATATCATTTGACAAATCTCTAAAATGGATGCGATCTCAATTCCTAGAACCCATTCCAACTCCGTAATTGAATAGTCGAGAAGAAAAGGAAAAATACAAGTAGCGTCAAAAGAAGAAGATCTGCGCTAAAAAAGGAAACCACTTGCACAGAAAAGGGGAAGAGCCTTTGGACCAATCTCTTTTATGCTTTTGTTGCTTAATTTGCCACGGAACAAACAGAAAAAAGATATAGAGAGACGGAGCATGCAACAAAGTCAACAAACTCGCATATTTCTTCTTACCTCAATTTTATTATTATTGATTATTACCCTTTTTCAGCCAAATAAAATTACAAAACAATTATTCAAAAATTAGAGTTTTTTTAATACTAGTAGAGTAATGGCCCGATTAATTGGAAGGATGGAAGGGAACATTTTCCATTTGTATGATTGATGTTATAATAATGAAGAGATTTATGAGAGATCAATTCAAAAACTGATGGCGGACGGCGGGGATACTTTTTTCATTCAACGCCGTCGTGAAACTGCAATGAAAGGGTCAATGCCGCTGGCAACAGACATGGAAACATTATTTGCTTCTGAATCTGAAACATGTTTTATTCCGTCTTTGAAATGGATAAATAGCAGTTAAATCCATTCGATTATAGTATAAAAACCCATATTTTTTATATTTGAATTTTGGTAAATCATCGAGGACCCAACCCTTTCATTTCCGTTGATCTGTGATTTGTATTATATTTGGTCTTACTATACCTAAAATTGCAGGGCTCATCTCTACTCCTGTTAGAGTATTTTGAAACCTTAATTTGTGATGGATGTGTAGGCCTTCCTGAAATAGCTTTTATCAGTCTGTATGCAACCTAGAAATTAAAACATACGCCGCAAATTAAGGCCAAGAAAGTGATAAATAGTGTGAGATGCAAGGGAAGCTGATCCGTTTAAAATCCACAAATACACAATTAAAAGCATGGTGCTCGAAGATATAAATGGAGGGTCGTGAAATATATTTTATTTTTTAAAAGTAAAAGTCACAGCACCTCATGAGCATCACACATTTCTTGTAACATTGATTATCTTCTTCTATTGTCTGTAAATTTAAAACTTGCCTTTTTACTTTTTTTCCTCTTGTTTTAGATTTTTTCCCCAGGGATTAACCATTCCAGTTTACTTTTCAATAATTTTATTTCAGACTTCATTTTAGAAAAATGTTATGTGGTCCGAACATAAAAATCATGTATAATGGTCCATCAAAATTTAAAAAATTATAATTTAGACCCTTAAAGTTTTAAAAGAATTTAATTTGACCCCTCAATTTTTTTTAGAAATTCAGATTAAATTTTAAATTTCTTGAATGTTCTTAATTAAACCCCCTCTCATAATTTTTAAAAATTCTCATTATACCCCTCAAAAATTTAAAAATTTTAGTTAGACCCTAATTTTTTGGGGAAAAAAGTAAACTAAACACTTCAAAAAAAATTAAAACTTTTAATTTAAACCTATGCATTTTTAAAAATTTTAAGTTGGCCTCCCTTGATTACGATACATTCACATACATATGGTATATTCAGTTTTATCTTATGTTAGCTTATCACTAATACATATTACTAGATGATTATTTTTAAGTCTCAATCATTAAAGGGAGTATTGTTCACCCTTGAAGTCTTAGGTTTGAGCATATGCATCTATACGGTGTGTGTGGGTTGACATTTGACAACTGTTAACAAAGATTTATGAACAAATATTACTTTGTAACCACTTCAGACTATTTTAAAAAAAATTGTTGATAGAATGGAAATTGTTGGGATTTTGCGGAAGCTCGAATCGACAACCGAAAGAGTTCGCCATGAGGGGTCGGGACGGTTCTTGTGTTTAGGGAGTAAGGAGATTGAAAGATAGAAAATTTGCACATCGATTTATAGTGGTTCGACTCCTCAACCAAGTCTACATCCACTAACTTAGCTCTTCACCAAGGATTTTCCAACAAATTCACTAGTTTGTTTTTTCTTTTGAGGACAAAGAGATAACATTTACAACTCCCTAGTTTTTCACGGGTTAAACTAGAAACTTTCCCTAGCATTTACACGGGCTTAGCTAGAACTTTTCTCATTTACAAAGGATAAGAAACGTAAACAAGAAAACCTCTCTAAGGTAGGTGTTTACAAGATTGAGCTTACAATAACAAAATATTTACAAGAAAAAGATGAAATAAGAATGAAAAACTCTTCTCTTGTGTTTGATTGCTTGGATAGTTGTTCTCTTACTTCTTCAAGTGTCCTTAGCTTGTATTTATAGCTTGAAATGAGTTAGAAGTCGTATATAGCAGTTGGGGATGTTTTGGAGCCGTTTGTGGATGATTTTTTTGCAAAAATAGGCTGCCCATAACAGGGGGTATCGGTACCTCTTCAAAGGGTATCAATACTACATTTGTTAAATTCAAATTAAATTAGCCGTTGTAGCTAGGGGGTATGGATACCCTTGCAGGGGGTATTGGTACTCGGGTATGGATACCCATAGGGGTATCAGTACCCTTTTTGCATTCTATGTTTGAGCAGTCATAGGGGTATGGATACCCAGGCAGGGGGTATTGGTACCCAGGGTATGGATACCCTTTTATAGGGGTATCGGTACCTCTTAGTATTTTTGCTCAAATATGAATTTAATGGACTTTGAATTATTTTTGAAACCTTTTGAAAACTTTGAATAAATTCAATTCAAGTCCAAGAACATTTTGCCTTAAAATTTGTTATATCAAAACATATTTCAACAATCTCCCCCTTTTTGATATAACAAAACATTTGAAAAATCGTTTTAGGCAAAACTCCCCCTTAATAAAATGTTTAATGAAAAAAATACCAATTGTTACAAATTGTTGGAAAATATATGAAAATGTTAAGCTCCCCTTTTTCATTAAGAAATTGAATTTTTCAAATCATACTTCTCCCCTTTTTTGTTATATAAAAAATAATTCAATCTTTGAAGTTCTAAAATAACATTGGAGAGTAAGTGATAAATTTGACATTTAAAATTTATTTGAAAAATCAAAAGCTCCCCCTCAATTAATGCATTTCAAACAAAATTTAGCTTTAAGAACTTGACACTTAAGCAAAATTGAATTTCAACAAATAATAACAAACATGTTAGTAGCACATGAAATTCAATATATCCAAGTCTAAAATACTTTATGCAATATCAATTGTTGAAATTAAGTGCATATGGATAAAGCTTTTCCAAAAATGTTATGCATTTGAAAATTTTGATATCAATTGTTAGAGAGATTATCTTTTGCATTTTAAATCACATGCATAAACATTTAATTTTAGGTCAAAAATTTAAAATTTATAAAATCAAAATATTTGAAAAGTTGATATCAATTGTTAGAAATATATCATTTGCATTAAAACCAATTTTGACCAAAATACATTATGATGAAATAAAAAATATGAAAAATTATTAAAACTTTAAAATGTTCTTCATACATGAGATTAAAAACAATACGTAATTATTTAAACTCAAAACTCATGCATGCTTAAACTTAAATGAGCAACAAATTAATCAAAAACAAAAGCTTTAAGCTTAGAGGTTACCCATTCCTTTTTCATGTGTGGCTAGAGCATATGAATATCTTCACTTTTATCACCATTGCTCCTACACACCTACAAGAGACATTTATTTTGATTTTGGTATCCAAATTACTTTGGATCCTTGGACGTCAGTTTCAATGCCCCTTGTTCTTTTCGGAACCCATACTTGCCTAATTTTAAAACGTTTTCCTTTCTTCAAAGAAAAAGTATGCTCCGAATGACCATGATAATGGCATGTGAGCATTTTGTCTTTTTTAAACATAATAGGTTGTTTTTAGAAATTAATTTTTTTCTTTTGTTAAGCTTTCAAGCTTAACTCCTAACTTAAATTTTTTCTTTTCTAAATCATTTATTTTGACTTTTGAAAGCTCTAAATCATTTTTCAAAATTTCATTTTGATTTTCAAAATCAACTCTAGCTTTCAAAATCGATTTATTTTCAATTTTTGAGTTTTGAAATTAATTTCGTATATTTGGAATTCATGGTCTCAAATCCCAAATATAACCTATTATAAGCATCTTGTAACTCATCAAAAGTAAATGAATTAAATTCATTTGAGTTAGAAGATACCTCGAATTCTTCTTGAGTGGCCATGAGGCATAGGTTGACTACTTCATCTTCATCATTGGAATCATCTTCATCGCTCCAAGATGCAACAAAGGCTTTCTTCCCCTTTTTCTTTAGAAGATGATATTCATACTTGACATGCCCCTTTTTTTGACAATTAAAGCACACCAGGGGACTCTTCTTCTTGTTCATCATCGTCTTCATCCACCTCATCACTTGAATCTTGATAGCTTTCATTGGTGGATTTGAAGGCAATGCCTTCATCATTCTTCTTCTTGTTTTTATTCTCTTCATATTTTTCCTCTTCCTTCAACATCATCTCATGAGTGAGAAGGGAACCAATTAGCTCGTCGAGAGTGATAGACTTTAGGTCTCTAGCTTCGATGATGGCGGTCTTCTTCAGTTGTCACGAACTTGTAAGAGAGTAGATCATCTTCCTTACAAACTTCTCATTAGGGATTATTTCTCAAAATCCCCTGAAAC